GTCTGATTTAATAAATGTAAACGAAAATTTTGTTTTGTATTTAAAAATGCTTCATCATCAAATATATTATATGATAATAATTTTGTTTTAAATGTTAATATTGGTCGTAATTGATATATAATATTTTTACATAACGATATAATTGATTGTTCACATTGAGAAAATAATTTTGACGAATAAAATTTTGTAAATATTTCAATAATAGTTAAAAGTCGTTGTAAAAATAATTTACGTACAATTGTATCACTAAAACATGTATTTTGAAAAAATATATCGGTACGCAGTGCTTTGTTTAGAAGTCGATAGACGAAACTATCTTTGGTATACCAGGCAATAGCGTCTTTCGGATGATACGAGGTTCGGAAAAGGTTTATATTTGCTTGCTCTGTTGTATTTCCTCTATAATATTGCTCACATCTAATTAGCATTTCCTCCTTGGCTTCATAAGTTCGCTCGAATTCTCGTAAGACATTGAGGAGCAGCTGGAACCAGAGAAATGAAGCAGCGCTCTCAGATAAATCCCGCGTATATTTTTGTTTAAATATACTGATTAAAGAATGAAAAGGCGGTTGTTTGCTTTGAGATTAGGTGGAGTTGCTGACGAATAGATTTTATGAGCGCATCTTGGACAGTGAAAACATCGATAACTTTTGAATAAGTTGAAAGCAAATCTTCATAACGAGAAGGATCTGCGCAGAAGATGAAGACTGAGTCGAGTTGTTGAAGAGAATGAATTAAGGGTAGAATCTGAGATGCGAGTGAACCAGAAATAATTAGCAGAATGCTTTCTTTTTCGATTGATTTGATATATTCGACACATTTCTGCCCATCAGTAAAGGTTAACAGGAAATCATTGAGTTTACGAAGTAGAGTTAGTGTAGTCTTATAGTCATCTTTTGTCTCGTCAATATTTCGATCTAGCCAGATAAGAGCAACATTTTCAAGGTTAACCGTCGTTTCTCCTCGGCTGTGCGCTGGGCTGACAACTGTCGATCGACTTTCTGATGCAGATGACCGATTAAGGGACGTTGGAGTACTAACGCTGGTGGAAAGTGCGTGTCTGTTATTATAATCACCCATGTTGATTTTTGCAACTTTTCGTTTATCATATGCGACACTTTACTCCTACAAAAGCCAATTTGCAACAAATTTGCATTGCGATAAAACCACACAGTGTGTGAGATTTTGTCGTTCTTTCTTTTTAATGGTAGTGAGGCAAACACAAGCCCCCTCTCGAAATCTTTAAGAAAATAAAGAAAGGACTATAAAGATAAATTATCGTATTATTATATCTTATTTTTATGAAAACTTTCACAAGGTTTTTCTGCGTATTTTTTACATCTCTGTGTAATTGAAATCATTTTTCCTTCCTTCAACTGTGTCTACTTTCTTTAAGATTTTAACAGCAGACACTTAGAGAGATGCATCGTAAATAACTAAAAATCATTTTTTTATGTGCAATAAATGTAAAGAAAGCTGATATCAGCTTAATGTAAAAATTGTTCTGTTCTGACTCTTGTTTTCCTCTGTACAAATACGTAGCTCTTTCTCTATGTTTTATTAAAGATATATTAAGAGGCCTACACTTTTCAATATATAACTTGCCTATATAAAAAAGAAGTCAAACAAAAACACTACTTTTAGTGAGAACTATTTAAAGTCAAACACACTTCGATCTGAAGCGAAATGCCGTACGCAAATTGTAAAAAATATCAGTGACGGACTTTGCCATTGTAATTACCCATGCTGAGATTTTCGCGCTTCCAGTGAGGGGATATATCAAAAAGCTTCTTAAACAAAACCGGGCTGTTACTTTCTACTGCACCTTATTCCAATTTTTATGATCGCGTGTTTGAATCAAATATCATAGAGCTACATGTATAGCTGAAAGAGACATCTAGGCATTCTTCTTGTGATCTGAGTGAACACACGGATCGAGACGGACACACAGACAGATAGGACGACAGATATTACAGCGTTTAGAACCAGATTTTTTTTTGTAATACCCATCGATTACTGTAAAGAGTACTTGGAATAGTAAACGAAGAAATTCTACAGCTCTGAATAGATTTCAGTTTAACCCAAAGAGATTAAAGTGTTAAAATGTATAAGACCAAAAAAATTTTGTTTTTAATGGGAATTTTCCGACGTGCTATTCAAGTTTGTACTTTTACCGCATGATTAATATTATTATTGCTTCCACGTTATTCTTTAATCATTTTTCTACAGCTTTAAAAAGGTAAAGAAGAAACGAGGCTATAAACATGAGGTATCGTGTTATCAGAACTTATAACTGATGGGAATTTTCCCGAGATCTTTCCTGCTTCACATCTTTCTGTGTAACTGAAATTATTTTTCCTTTATACCAGTTTCCTTCATACTTTCTCTTCAACTTGAAAAAAGAGTAAATAAAGAGTACAGCAAAACATCGCGTATTGTATTACCATAAATTAATTTTTCCCCAGCTTTCTCAGCTACAGCAAATATTAGATATATCATCTTACTCTGTAGAAGTTGGTTTTTTCCCACTCCTGTTTTTCTTCATAAAAATACCAAACTCTCTTTCTATACTTTGTGAAAGAGTCATTAAAACGCTTACACTTTTTAATATATAACCTGAGTGTAAAAGAAGAAGTCAAACAAGCAATATAGTGATCACATATAATTTTACGCTATTCACGTAAGTAACGAAGGTTAGAGACACAAGGTGTTTTATAGACTCTGAGAGGAGGAGATTTATAAACTAACGTTCCTATCTGTTTACGTATTGCTTAAAAAGAGCGTTCAAGTGTATTTCCTGCTCTCAAAAAGACCCCGACCTCTTTCTTTTTTAAAGAGAGATCCGTTTTATTTAACTCGAAACTATATGATCTCAGCGTAAAAACGATTTAGTGAGTCTGCCAATAAATTCTCATATAATCGTAGGCAGAGGTGTTAGCCGATATATAAGTCGGCGGCGGCGGCGGCCAAAAAGCTATTTGGGATCGGCGGCGGCGGCGATTCAAAAGTCGACTTTATCCGACATAGCACGAAAAACATACGAAAATCTTCTCATTTCGGCGGCGGCGCGGCGGATCGGCTGACATCTCTAATTGTGAGCTTGCATTCAGAGCGTGGAAACTACTTTCGTACTATATAACCGTCATCTGTGATTTCACTAGACCAAACCCCTCTTCAATGGCAGCCCGCCACTCATTTGACAGGACATGACAAGCAAGTTGTTAAGATGCGGAATACTGATAAACTTAATGAAGACAGCTATTGACTGAAAAGAGCTAGAACGAGAAATAGATATACATCCAGACAGACAGACAGGTGGAACTTGACAGACTTTTGCGTTGAAATTTTTTTTGCAAGAATTATAATTTGAACTTCATTTCCCTTCATTTCTTTTCATCAGACAATGGCTAGTTCAATACATTCCCAGGCAGCAGCTGGTCAGTCTCGTGAACGTTTCGGCCTAATTATCTTAGGTAACAGTGGAGCTGGTAAAAGTTTCATTGCAAATCTTTTTCTACAACGCGAAAAATTTGCGAGCAAACCATCTGCAACGGCAGTTACGACAAACACCGAATTTGAAGAATATACAGCTGATGGTGTCAGTTACGTTATTTTCAATATTCCCGGTTTGATCGAAAGTAATCAAGAAAAGATTGATAAGAATAAAGAAGAAATCGATAAAGCCTTTTTGGAATGTCCAAATTCAGTCGTTTTCTACGTGTTCGGTAATCAGATGGGCCGAATTCGTCAGGAGGATGTGATTGCATTCAATGCTTTACACGAAGCCTATCCTTTCAAAGACGAGTCACTGGTCATCGTCGTCAATGCTATTCCATCTGAACGAGAGAGAACTTATAAAGGTCAAACAATTACCTTGCTACGTGAATATTTACATATGAAAACATGTGAATATTACTGTTTCTTGGATACAATTGATAGAACTAACGAGACGGCGAAAGGAGAATTGCGCCAAGAATTAATATCGGCTATGGACAAAACACTACCAAAAGTACATGAAAAGGTAAAAAATATTCATCTACAGCATGATGAGATTGAGAGATTAAAAATGGAATTACAAAAAATTGTTACTGCCTTTGCTTATGAGAAAGAAGTACTGGAAGCACGATCTCGTGCAGCTCAGGAGCAGTATGAAAAAGAAATGAAAGATATTCAAGAAAGACTAACAGCACAAGACAAAGAAAAGAATGACTTACAAAAACAAGTAACAGCAAAGAAGTGGTTTGAAGGATTAGTTGGTCCTGTGACACAAGCAGTAATTCCGATGGCACTTGGTCAAGGGTGGGCTGGTACTGCTGCTTCATTTGCAATGAATTCTTTGAGACAGACAGCACCCACTCGAATGCCTGGCGGTAGCTCATTGTTTTTCTCTGGAGTCTCTGGCCGAGGCGGGAGAGGTGGCATGAGACCATCGTTTTAGAACTCAGTCAACACCGCCTTGTTATATCAGACTGAAAAAAAGAACATAAGCCAGGCAACAGCCCACACGTAAACACGAAGCTCACTTTTTCTGTATCTCAAACTTGAAGAATAAAGAAATAAACGAGAAACTGAAAACATAAGCCTCGCTCAAGAGACCCTTCTTAACACATAGTAAAACCTAGACATGTAACGATCCGAGCCTATGATCGACGGCTCGGCCTGATCCGTGTGTAGCGCTGGCTCTGTGGTCACTGTCTGACATCGCGTGACTTGCTACGGAAGAATTCTAGATATTTATATACTTGTGCCGGTGTAAGGGTATAGGTGGATTTTTTCCTCTATCGAGTATTTTGATTTATACTTGACGCTCGCTACTGACATTATATCAATAATTTCAATTCTTTTTGTTTTTCTTTCACCTCTCTCTCTCTCTGTAACACGCATTTTACCATTTTGTTTGAAAAGACTAAATCAGTAAATCAGCGTTAACCACAAAAATTAACTTTTTTTCTATAAGTTGTAAGCTAATTACTCAAACATCGTTTAATTAATATTTTGTTTTCTTATTTCACGCACATTTTAAAACAAATTTCGTTAACTTTTCTGACACACACGTTATAAATTATCGTGGCCTGATAAAAATAGATAACACCGCAAAAAGAAATGTTTGGACAGTGCGACAATGGTTTTTTTGTAGCTGATATAAATTCCGTCCCTTCTTCACTATCTCCCCCACTTCCTTCTCCTGCAACCTTACCCCAACACCTGCTTCAATCAGCATCACCTGCACATCAAGAAGTACCTCGATCAGTACTCAGACCTCCGCTACAAGCAACCTTACCCGTCGTCTCTCGACCTTTATTTCGTCCCTTCGTCACACCTCAACCGAAACCTTCAAAAACACCTGTAATAACCATCGCAAGTATTTTATTCTGCTTACTCTGTCTAGCAACAGTGGGATTGTTAAGCCTTTTTGGCGCATTCGTCGCAGTGGTGGTTTACCTCGGTAAGTGCGCACACTTTATTCTGGTAGTCTTCTTCTAAGATCTTGCTCTCCTTGTTTCTTTCCAGGCGATGTATCTCACGCACTTAAGGGTTTGAACACACCGTTACCATCACTCTACGTCAGTGCATTTTTCCCAATTTCTCGATAGGATTGGCCTGTTTCCAACAAGTGTTGTGGGGCAGTAGCATTAAACTAAGAGGTACAATAACGGTTTGTCGGTCTTTTCTTCCTAAGTACACAACAATGGGCTCTCAGGAAGCTTTCTTTTAATAATAAATTTTGTCTATCCTTCTAACTTTTTTCCAATGAGCTTTTTTGTGGTCAAAAACAAAATCTATTGTGCAGCGTGATATAATTAACGGTGTGTGTAAGTTATAGTTTATCTCTTTTCTTACGAGTCGTTTTCTGAGAAAGTGGTGGTACTACTGCGGCAGAAGACTATCTCAGATTTGGCTGAAACTTTCACCAAAGATGCACGACGTCATTTGTAGCTAGCAGAAATAAGTTTCAGATCGATCGGACTCAAAGTGCTGCTACTTTAGTAACTTACTTACAAACTCGGAAAAACCCACATTCCTAAAAACTTTATTTTGGCCATAATTCCTCGACAGAATTAATTAATCTTTCGTAACAATTTATCCACCGTTGGATTTCTCATTGAATTTTACATCAGATTCCGAGAAAAAAAATATTTTTCCGCATGTCACTCAACCAGCAGCGCCCAGAGCGGGGAGGGGGGGTGCTGGGGGGTGTATACCCCCCCAAGGGGGAAAAAGCTGATTTTTCTGTAAAAAAATCCCAAAAAAATCGGAAAAAAATCAAAAAATCCAAAAAAAATCCAAAAATCTAAAAAAGATCTAAAAATCTTGTGAAAAAAAGCTAAGTTGTTCGAATGTCATTCTTCATCAACATAGCGTAAAAATAACGTCGCTTACTATACAACATATCTTTACAGTAGTAGCAGCCGTCCCGAACGTTTTTTCCCAGACATGAGGAATTGTGAAATTTTTTTTTGAAATTACTTACAAGTTTATTCCATGAATGCTAGGTTTCAGTAAAACGGCTTCTCTTTTTGCAAATTTTTTTTGGCATGTCACTCACACACGGTTCTGGTATAGGCAAAAAGCAGTAAGTCAAGGCTAACTCCCAGGCCCGGCGGTTTTTCATAAATTTTTTTTTCGTTTTGTCTAGGATCCACTCGCACATGTTTCCTGTGAATAGAGGTGTTAGCCGATATATAAG